ACCATGGACATTCTGCAGAAATCAAAATAAATACATTGATCACATTCCAGACTTGATCATAAAATCTCACATTGATATGCAACTATGTTGAAGCGTTGCCCCTATTTTATTTTTAGATAAAGGAGTTCATTGAACGCTATGAAGGCTATCTACCAAACCAATCTCATCAACTAATGAATGAATCTACACCAAATTAATGAAAAGAAGCAAAATAATTAAGCAAGAGATGAGATGGGGGTGTACTAACGTGGGGGCCATGGAAGTGGACGAAGAACACCTTGTAGGCATAGAGAAACAAAATCTGCATAAACAAAGAGACAAAGATGTGAAGCTCTAGGAGTAGAGGCGAGAAACTTTCACAAAGAAGAGGAGCGTGTGTACGTGCATCGTGCTTCTCCTGTTGATGCCTCTCTCCTTCGTTGGGCGGTCGCAGCGAGACAAGAGCAGGACGAAGCCAGACGTCTCTGCAGCCCGCATTGCTATCTGCTAGTAGTTCCATCAGTGTGTGCACAAATATTTTTTCTAGCAAACCTGATTTCAACCTTTATCCACTAGTTCCAATTATGAGGCCTGCACATTTGCTAGCCATTTTCTCCAGCAACAACCTCCTTGAAAAAAATATCCAACGAATCCAACACAAAGAACATCTCATTGGGATTTATTTATTTGCCTATCTCCAAGCAATACATCCAATGAGCCATGCTATGCATCCACGGTCTACTTGCAACTGATTTGGTATAAAGGAACCCTCAAGTACAGGAACTAACCAGTCGTAAACAAGATGGCTACAGAAGTGCAGGCCTCCAGCGATGGCTGAGTTGGGACGACGAAGGCGAAGCAGTGCTTGACGACAACAGCGGAGCAACATCGGGTGCGTTGCTCCTACCAAGTAAGACGGTGACGGCACCGTGGACCACCACGGCTACAAGAGTGGGGATGGAGGCGGAGCTGCAACGGTGTCCGCACACGAAGAAGTGGGCAGAGCTCCTCGATGCCATCCCCTTGCTCCCGTCCTCTACAACCACTATGGTGGTCGGCTGGAACTCGAAGATAGAAGGCTTGGGGAAGAAGGTCTCAAGGGCGTGCCTTCTCAATTTGGCGATGGTACGCGCAAATCGGGACAGGTGGAACGCGCAAGGAGGCGCTATTTACACGACTATTAATGGGTTTGATGGTGTTCTGGCAGATTACATTGATGACAATTTGGTGATGGTAGAGAGCACTTCTATCTTTTATGTCAAACAATTTGCAAATACTATGATAGAAGTATTTGGTCCAGAGTACTTGAGAGCACCCAATGCTCAGGACACTCAGAGGCTTTTGGAGATGAACAAAACCCATGGGTTTCCATGTATGCTTGGGTCTATCGATTGCATGCACTAGAAGTGGAAATTGTCCTACAACATTTTACATCATCTATTAGAGATGCTCTTGCCTCTTAGTGGATGTGTGCTTGACGCTGGCGTGACAGTCACTTCCGATACTTGGGGTACTTCTGGTGTCGGTGCCGGCTGCTGATGTGGGGGCTTGATGCATGGATCCAGTTGCATCCTCTTCGGTGGTTAGCGGTATATGTTGGTTTCATTAGTCGATATGTGGGTGTGGGGGTCTGTCGATGGTCGCAGCATGACGGGGTGGTCAGCGGTGGTGGTGGTGGTGGTTGTGGCGCGGGTTTGCGATGGAGTTGTGGACATAATCTGAGCTTGTGTATTGCGAATGTGGTTGGCCCGTGTTGGCGGCGTGGTCGAGGTGGTGGCAGTAGTGTCGATGTCCTGTTGGCGAGGATACTCTCATTGGTGTTCTGACACTTGCAGTGTAGTGGAGCGGCGACGGATTGTGTCTTGCTCTCTGTTCTAGTTCGAGTGCTCTGTCATTGCCACTTCGGTCGTGCTTCGGCTTGTTTGGAGTGTGTTGGTGATCGAGCCTCCTCCCAAGAGGCTTGTCGAGGTGGAAGTTCTCTGGGCTCTGGGCGCATGCTTTGGCCGACAGGGGTCCGTGGCGGCGACGGGGTGTCGTCCATGGGCGTCTCTTTCCTTCTTGAAGGCATCGTCAAAGAGTTCATCCTGACACTAGATCACTATTGGTTGTAGTGGGTTTAGCGATTACTGGCGCGGCCGGATCCCCTCCTATGGGGTTCGATGGGGTGGTGGAGTGTGAAGATCTAGGTGATAGCTTTGTTCCAACGAGGGTCAGTACCAGTGACATTGGCGCCTACGGATGCCATTTACTTCTTGGAGGTGTTGTCGAAAAGCTTCTTCTCCTTACCCTGGGTGTTTTTGGCCCTCGACGTTGGCTTGTGCTTGGTGGTGGTGTCTAGTTTCGTTAGGGGTTGCTTGTGTTATCATAGTTGTCCCTTATCAACCGCGTGTTGTGTAGTTTTCGGCCTAGTTTTCCATATATACAGTGCCAACTCTCTTTTTCTTAATGAAATCGCAAGAACACCCTCAGCTAGGAAGAGTTTCCATAAATAAAGATGAAAATGGAATCTTGCCAAACTACCACCCTAGGTCGTTATGGGAGATATCTTTCATGTAATTACAGGATCACCTAATCATGTCGTGTCCTTCAAAGATATCTGCCAAACTACTACCCTAGGTCTACCTTTATAAGGGAAAGTTGGAGTCTTGCCGGCGAAACAAGGTCATGAAGGAGCACATACTCATATAAAAAACACCATTGTAGTTCTCTATGATTAGCAAAAATAGGTAAGGACATAGAGTTGTTGCCTTCTAGGCTTCCTCTTTGCCTCAAGTGATTAAACTTGCCCATCTGGGGCCTGAACCTAGGTAAAATCACTGTGCCATCATCATCGTTGAAGAGGCCCCTTCGAGATCCACCCTTCTCTTTAAAAGCTTACATGACTACTTCCATATCGTAAGATTGGCAGGGCATTATTCGTCGTCATTCTCCCCTCTCACCATTCCTGGAAACCCTGCGTCTCGACTCGACCCACAACCCTGCAGAAACGCCTGGATCAAGTCAATTGGAGCCGGCTCACGTCCATGACAGAGGCCTAGAATATTTCGCAAAAAACAACCCGACTTACTTTAAAACAGAGATCTCGCTTCCGCTGACACCATCAACGGCGACCCCCTGCCTATCCATTTCCTATGCTAGAAACACTCCAATAGACAGTAGCCTTTGTAACCCCTGACCTCAAGGGAGCAGCCCGGTCCATCATGAAAGGCCACCGCCACGTTGGAACACATGCAGCATCCTGGGTGACACATGCTTGATCAGCAGCGACGATAATCCTACACCCCGTAGGCGCAGTGACATGCACCGATGCCCCATTGCTTTGCGCGGCAACAAGGTCTCCCACTCTGTTAGATTCAGCGCCACACCACTAAAACTTTCCAAGAGTAGGCATCGCTCCACTAGGCCTCCTCCCGCCCGTGCTGCACCCCCTCCATCCCACAATATAAGACGTTTTTGCAAGTTAACCAACTGGCAAAAACGTCTTATATTATGGGATGAAGGGAGTATGTATCACGGGTCATCTTCAAAATCAGAGTCGTGGATGCAAGCTATGCGAAAAGGGGAAGTGAGAGCAAGCCTCACCAACCCTTGCCGAGAGCTCCCACCCGTCAGCCACAACACTCACACTAATTGTGGTTAAACTCTCAGAGGAGCAATGATACTCAATATACATTTATTTTCCCCAAGAGTAAGGTTCTGCGCTGAACCAATCTCCTTTTTCTGTAGCAATTTCTTAATGGGGCTAATTGACTTTCCATTGTACTGGCTACTGTTTTATTTGATAACTATCAGATCTAAGATGTACTTGGAGTGTCTTTTCTTCAAAAAAAAGGGACCTCCTTCACATGGCAGGCAGTAGCACAAGACATTGCATCTTGCATAGGGAATGAAACATGCAAATAACGATGAATAACGTAGGATGCAAGATAGAAAACCTGAACAATTGACATATAACTTTATTAAGCTATTATAGTCTTGACTTAGTGCAATAAAGCCGAATCTATTGTATCCTAGAGTAATGTTTGATTGAAACCGACTAACCCACTAGTCTAGAAATTGAGCAAATCACCAAAAAAAGACTGATGAGGCTAACGGCATAAATTGCCTGTGAACTAGGACATGCCAAAAATAAACATATTGCCCTGGTGGATATTGTTTTCTGACAAAGAATTTATTCCTCAAACTTTATCTCTGATTGCATTAGAAGTCCGGTCATTGGCTTCCCCAAACATGAATTGCACAAAATCAAAATTTCAATGTGAGGATATTCATGGCATCCGAGACTCCAAGAACTATGTTTTTCATTGTAATGAAACATCAATTTTCAAGAAAACATATGGCAATATCAACATGATTTTACCATAGCAACACCCCAAAGATGAATTGCACAAAATCAAAATTTCAATGTGAGGATATTCATGGCATCCGAGACTCCAAGAACTATGTTTTTCATTGTAATGAAACATCAATTTTCAAGAAAACATATGACAATATCAACATGATTTTACCATAGCAACATTGTTATGTTCGAGAGTGTTTTTATCGTGGTGGTGAGACCATAATAGCTATACTTGTTAATGTAAAAGATCCAGGTATCATATTCAACGAAGTTTAGACACAACAAATGGATTTTCCATAGAACAATATCTTTAATACAATTAGGGAGAAGAGAAATTGGTATACAGCTGGATAAATCATATATTCAGGTTGTCAACGGATTCAAATAGCCGGTCACAAACAGGAAAACAGGTCTAACTAATAAATATATTGAACTTTTGATGAGCTAACTCAAGAAGAATATAGCATTGTAAGTTTGTAACTCACATAGCTTCATAAATAATTAGCTAGGCTCTCTAAGATTCATGTAATTGTTGCCCACAAAAAAAAGATTCATGTAACAGCAAGTAGTCCATCTATGTTTTGTGAAGCTTACTAGACCTCTCCAATACATCCACCAAGAGATAAGGGCAATTTCTTTTGAGATCTCCATAACCAGGGCTTGCCACCACAGCATCCATATCCTATGAAGTGGACATAAATTCAATGCAAGCATCCTTAAGCCCGTCGCAGTGATGTTGATCAGCCAAGCCCAACGTGGTTGCCACGGTCTGCACGTTAATATCCTCGCAAAGGAGGCTTTGACATAACAGCTTTAGCCTCTCCATGGCATATCGATCCGCGGCCACGAGCAAGTGCCGAGCCATTTCAATATGACCTTCCCAATCAAGATCATCAAAAGCAGCTGGCAATGCATCATTATAGATGAAATAGAGGAGTGCCTTGAAGACATCAGGCTGCATCTCTTCGATGGTTACGAGCTGTGCCCTCGTCTCCCTCATCGGCCCATAGAGCTCCGCTTCAAACACAGGCGACCGCATGGCGAGGATGGTCTTGTGTGCCATGAAAGTCTCTCCTGCTACACTGAATGTGACATCTGCCTTCTCCTTTGCTTCTAACAGCCTGCCGAGATGCGATATGATGTCCGAAGGCGGCACCTCGATTCTAGGGGGTGGTTTTATTTCAGAGACCCGAGGTTTGATGACTGTGATGGCGCAGTTGATCTTGAGGCCGTCTTCGTGAAGGTACACCGATGCTTCGAACTCGCCCCTTTTTATGAAATGAGTGCCGATGGGTGGAGCAAACCTGCTCTCCATGTTTTGGCAGAACATCCTCGGCTCTGTCTTGTGCACGAAACACATCAACCCTTCGCCGTCGACCAGCCTGAGGTCGCAGGATGCGTGCACCCTGGCGTCCTTGCTCAACAGCTCCAGGTAAATTGCCATGTGATCTTCGTTGTGTTGCCCATCACCATCAGGATAGAAGCGGATTTCCCACTCATGGCCCCCGACGGAAAAGGAGCCGGACCGGATGACCTTGCCGATGCCCATGCCCTTGTGATGGCTGTACCCGCAGATCTCGAACACGTAACTGTCCTCCACTTTCACCGGTGTGCACCTCGACACCGTTTTCGTGGCCGGCATTATGCGGGTTGTGGACGGACGAGCAGGATCGCCGCCGACGGAAGAACCGCCACCGCCAGCCAGCGGCGGTTAGGAGTTTTGAACTGCGTGCCCTAACTCAGCGCATACGCACGATTCAGATGGTGAAGAAATTTGAACGCATTGGCAAGTGCATATGTGAAAAATGGACGGGAAAAGAAGAATGGAAAACTAGATGGTGGAAGAAACCCAACCTTGAGATGATCGGAGAAGTAGGCGGCGACGAAGAAGACCAGAGGAAATCTTAAGGTGAGGAGACGCAGACCTCGTGGGACGTGGGTCTTTTGTTGCTTCGTATCGGACTGTTCTCACACGGTAGTTATCGGACTGTGCTGCACTAATTACGTGCTTCCCCCATAACTGCTCCCCGTGAAGCACGTTTGACATCCCATAAAAAACTCTCAAATCTTTCGTCCTCGATTCCATGTATGCTACTGGTTCAAACAAACAAGGAAATGTTTTTGACCTGAAAATGGCGTACTCCTAATTGTTTTTGACCATTCGTTTTGGATTAGGTTCTCTACATTATTGGAAGCAGTTCTCCGCGTTGCTGTTGGATTCTTACTGAATTTTTGCTACCTTTATTACATGCGCTTGTGTGTAAGGATTGTAAGAAGCTTCGAAAGTACTCCCTCCGTTCGTGTATTTGTTTTTTGACAAAATTCTAAAATATAAGATGCATTTCTTCTAATTTTTCAGAATTTCCTTGTTGGTCTTTCAAAAAAATGAAAGTATCTCTGTCGTGATTGTCTGTATCTCCCAATGTAGCAAAAGAAGAAAAGTATCTCTCTATCGATTGCATGCATCTCTTATTTTTCCCGGGCTAACTGATTTACTTGCCACTAATCAACAAATTTGCCAAGGGTAATTTTTTCCTAATTTGTCAATAATTATGTGTCTTGGTCACCGTATCGAAAATAATACACTTTACATAAAGGAACGGAGTGAGTATGTAGCATACTGCTAGCATCACTTACAGATGGTTTGAAAAAGCGATACATGGAGTAGTAATGATTTATTTAATTATTGTGAAAAAGGACCAGATCTATTATCAAGATTCATAAAAAAGTACAAAGCATTTTAAACATAATAAATATTACATCGAGAACTCTGCACCGTCAAACAACCACTACTACCATCAGAACAAGTTGCTGACGCGTCATTGTCATTGCTTCCCTACCGAAGCGGGCTTGACCTTCTCGATGACATCTAGGAAGTCTTCGTGCACGTGCCCCTAAGGACCAGCACCCCAGAGAGAGCCGTAGTCGTCACCATTAAACCCTTTTAATCGGTCTGAAGAAGCTGGCACAAAATCTCGCCGGCACACACGCACGGCGAGAAACCCTTACCTCGCCGTCCCAAGGAGAGGGCAGGAATATACGCCGGAGCTCCGTTGACTCCGTTCTAACGGACAGACTCGAGGAGGATCATAGCCCGGAAGACCAACACGAAGATTAGACGCCGGCGTACGCCAGAACGCTGCCCTGCGGGAAAAAACCTAAGGAAAGGTGGATCCATGGACTCGTCGACGAAACTTGGAGGGGATGAGAGCCCTATCCATTACAGATGGGAGAGAGAAAGAGAAACCCTAACGAACGGTCCTAGCAGGCCAGATTGTTGTAGGCTTGACGAGCGTTTTGAGATATTATGTTGATACAAAAAGTCCCCAACCGCTCACAAGCTCAAATGAGCTCCCCATGAACGGTAAAAATGGAAGAAAATTTGGAAAAAAATCCTGAATTCTCTTTGTGGCAAACTTTAACAAATGTTTTGAGAGCTTGCAACTTTTCAGTTTGAAATGACATTCGTGAAAGTTACGGCAAAAGAATCAACACTCCAAAATGCTTTTGAAAATGGCATTTTTGGAGCATCTTTTTTTGCTTTCGCCGCGACTTCCATGAATGTGATTTCATTATGAAATTTTGCAGGCACTACGAACATTTGTCAATGTTCCACACACAAAAAAATCAGATTTTTAAGAAAAAATATTTTTATCGATGTTACTGTTCATCCGAGCTCATTTGAGCTCAAGAATAGCCATGTACCGTTGATACGGCGTAGCAAGCAGTCTCTGCTCCTTTATACATGCCGAGAAGGAGAAGCAGCTATGGTTCGATTTAGTGTCTGTTCGGCAACTCTCTGGCTCCACAGCTTCGCTCCTGAAGCGGCCGGAGGGGAGCGGCCTGCCGTGTATTTTCTCGGAGTTGCGAAAGTGGTGCTCCGTCGGCTCCCGTATTCTATGGAGTTGGACAATTCCCGAACAGGGTCTTAGTCATTACGCTCGCAAAGGAGAGGATGGAGTGGAAGAGATGGCCGGTGATTCATCAAAGTTTAAATTATAGTAATATATTACCCGCATTTCTCCGTCAATTTTTAGACCTGGACATGACGCCTGTCAAATCCCGAAGAGGCCAAAGACTTTCAGGTCAATGCTTCACCTGGCAATCAGGTGCCACCTCAGCACACGTAACGAATCAAAGTCCTTCGCGAAAAGAGAACTAAAACCAAAATTGGTGTCCAAAAGTCCACTATGAATTTCGGAATGAAGCATCCATGACCGTGTGTGGCATGCATTATTGCGTTAAGTACGACGCATGTATGACGTAGACACGCGTTGATATGCAAATCGAGCAACACTGCAAACCCGGGTGACTGCATCAGAAACAACGTAGTACTGCCACACGAACCTCACATAGCTTTAAACTAACAAATCCTCCAGCTTTCTTTCTCCTCTCCTGTGATTCCTCCTCTTATAAAGTTGACTTACCTAAATTGTAAAGTCAATCAACATAGGTAAACGTTTGCAGCCAGCAAAGCGGCCCAAACTTGGGCTGGTCCCTTCGCTAGCCACGCGCGCACTGCAGGGTACACGCGTCAGATCAGCTCATCGCCCATCGCTCTTCTCTTCTCTTATCTCTTCAGGACGAACCAGATCCACTCGTTCTTCCTCGCCACGAACACCATCTCTTCCGCACACAAGCTGCGCTCCCCCGCCTTCCCCTTTCCCCCACTTCCTTCATCTCTGCTTGCCCTCTACCACCGGCGACAGGCGGTGCCGGCCGGCCATGGCTGCCGCCCTATTTTCTTCTTCTTCTATCCTACTATGGCTGCGTCCACCACCACCTCCTCTTTCCTCTTTGACGAAGGGAAACACGACTTCGGCGAGCTGCGCCCGTTGCAGCAGCGAGATACGCGCACGACCACGGTGAGTTGCGCCTGTGGCAACGGCGAGCTAGAACCGCTTTGTGGGATGCTGCAATGGTGCGCCCGACGAGCTAGAATAGGCAGTCGTCCCCACGCCATGAACCGGCATGTCGTGCTGCAACCGGCCATGGAGGAGCTGTAAACGCCAGCGTGGCGTGCTACAACCTGCGTTGAGAATTGCTACCACGAGCATGCGGTGCACGAGCATGGATCGAGGATGCTGGAACCAACAATCTTTTTTGCTGGAACCAGCCATTTTTTTGCTGGAACCGGCCTTTCTTCCTCAGCTGCAACGGGCTCGAGAAGCAATATGCTACAACCAGTGATTCAGTTTGCTGGAACCCAATGCTTTTTTTGCTGGAACCAAATTTCTTCAGGAGTTGCAGTGATGAGGAACGTTTTGATTTTTTGTTGCATTTGTGTTTTTTGCTGGAACCAGCTCTTGAATTTGCTGGAACCAGCTTTTGGTTTTGCTGGAACCGCCTGAAGTAGAGTTGGAATCATTCTTTTTTTCGCAATTGATTTTTGTTGCAATCATCCAGCCGGCGAGCGGCCTCGGCGAGCCGACGAGCCGGCTGGAAACAAAGACATTTTTTGCTACAATCATTTTTTGATTTTGCTAGAACCGAAGATAATTTTTACTACATCCACCAGGCGGTGATGGCTTTCTTTTTGCTGCAACCGTCTCGGATTTTTGCTACTATATGAGTTGCCATTTTGCTACTACCAGAGTCTTGCTCGAAGCATCAGGAGTTTTTGCTACCACCCCTTTTGTTTTTGTTTTGATTTTGCTGGAACCAGCCTAAAAATTGCTCCAACCGTCATTCGATTTTGCTGGAACCGGCATTTTTTGCTTCGCCGGTGGCAGTGAAGGCGGGTGGCGTTTTTCTTTGCCAGCAGCGGCTAGGCTGTGAGTGCCGGCGGCGAGCAAAAGCAACGAGGGTACAAAGGAGGGCAGCGGGGGCTAGCGTGCGGGATCCTGCGAGTAGCGGCGACGCTCGCTTTTTCCTCCCCTTTTTCCCCTGTGCGGAGGATGACGAAAGGGGATGCGGGACAGATCAGACGGTCTCGCACGTCCAGATCGAGTGGCTCAGGTTGGACCGGCCGAAACTCGTGCCGGTGCGCCGGCGCAGAGTACTGCCCATCAACTTACGCGTATAGCTATTGTGTTTAAACTAAGCACCGTCTTCTTCGCTTTTTTTTCTTCGAACAAGCCGCTGCTACCGTTCTGAGCTCCCGCCATCACCTCGGCTTTTTTTGAGACAATCACACAAAGCTTTATTCATCTGTCACAATGTTTACAGGGATGAAGTTAAGATCACCGGGCTGACCTAACCAAGCATGGCGGCCAGCCCCCAAAGAAAGTGCGTGCTTTGCAAGATTGTGTGCTTCGGTATTCGAAGTTCTATTTTCGTGCTTAAAAGTAGCATGTAGAAAAGCAGAAGAGCGGTCCTTTATCTCATGTAGGATTGCACTGTAGACTGAAGATGATCCCTTGTTGATGGCTTCCACAACTTCCAAACAATCAGAAGCAATTAAAATCTGTTGAAGATAGAGGTCCTCCGCCAAGGCTAAGGCTTCTCTGGTAGCAAGCGCCTCGAGGGTGGCAGGGTCGCTGATATTGTTGAAATATACTGTCGAGGCTCCCTGAAAGAGGCCCTCCCCACTCCTGCAAATCACTGCAACCGCTCCATACCTGCCATGTCGCGACACTGCTGCATCAACATTGATTTTGAACATCCCGTCCGGTGGCGGAATCCAGTGCCAAGGACTAGTAACTGATCTTGGGGGCTTGATTGCACTAGCTGGTTGTAGTACCTTAATCTCCGAAAGGTATGAGGCAACAAAACCATGGATGGAATAAGGACTCTGAAATATTGATTCGTGTATCGCCTTCCTCCGAGCACTCCAGATTGCCCACAGAGTTACTACCATAGTAGTGAACTCATCCCCTGACATACTATCATGCATGATAAACAACCAAGACTTCGCATCAGATTCTTCGGTACATAACATGTGCTGCACCATCTCTTCTTTTGCTAGGGCCCAAACACATCTAGACATGTTGCATTGCATCAAAGAATGGCGCCAGCTATCTTCAACTCCACACATACTACACACACTGGTAGTGGCCATATTCCTGTGGTTCAAAAGGTCTCCAGTCGGCAACGATTGTTTCGCCAACCTCCAAAGAAAAACTTTCAGTTTTGAAGGAACACGTAGATGCCAAAGCGAGGACCAAGCTTTCCCTTCTGCATCGGTACTAGACCTCCCTGCATTTTCTTCTAGCCAGCCTTCTCTGGACAACTTTGTATTGATTATCATACGGTAACAGGACCGAATTGAAAAGATCCCTCTTCTGTCCTCATGCCAAGCCCAAAAATCCTCAATCTGCCGGGTACATAGTGGAATTTGCAGGATCAACTCAGCATCATATGCTGTAAATACCGAGCGGACTAGCTCGACATTCCATGTTGCCGTTGTGGCATCAATGAGCTCCGAGACCATCGTCGGTGGTTCCTGAATTAGCGACTGAATCGGCCGCTTCAAACCTGTCCTCGGTATCCAGTTTGTTGTCCACACATTTGTAGATTTACCATCTCCAATCCTCCTGATCAGCCCCTGCCTGAGGATCTCTCTGCCATCAAGAAGTGATCGCCAAATCCGTGAAGGATGAGGCCCAAGTTCAGCATCCAAAAACGAGCAGAAAGGGAAGTAGACTGCCTTGAGAATTCTTGAGCTAAGCGTTAACGGATCTTCTAACATCCTCCAAGCTTGGCGGGAGAGCAATGCTAGGTTGAACGCCTCTATATCTCTGAATCCCATGCCCCCAAGACTTTTCGGTATTGTCATCTCTTCCCACGATACCCAGCTGGGTTTCCGTTTTCCACGCTTACTGCCCCACCAAAACTGACGGATGATCGAAGTAATGCTGTCACATAGGCCCCTCGGCAGTCTGAAACAAGCCATAGAGAAAACAGGGATAGCTTGAGCTACACTCTTAATCAAGACTTCTTTTCCGGCCACTGATAATAACTTCTCCATCCACCCTCTAACTTTCTCCCAAACTCTGTCCCTGAGATATCTGAAAGTTCCACTTACTGATTGGCCAACATCTGTAGGCAGTCCCAGATATTTGTCACTGAGGGATTCATTGTGTACATTCAAGGAGTTCATAATACCTTCTTTCATTACTTGAGGACAGCCCGTGCTAAAAAATATTGATGATTTCTCATTATTGATTCTCTGCCCCGAGGCGGCACAATAGACATTAAGCAGGTTTGATACTTCATTAGCACCCTCAATACTCGATTTGAAGAGCAACAGGTTGTCATCTGCGAACAAAAGATGGTTTACTGCCGAAGCCGTAGGTGCCACCTTAATGCCTTGAAGAGCTGATGACTGAGAACGAGATTTCAAAAGGCACGAAAGGCCCTCTGCTGCAATTAAAAAGAGATGAGGGGAAATGGGATCTCCCTGTCTAATACCTCTCGTGGGTTTAAACTGTTGTAGCCTCTCTCCATTAAATAAGACAGAGAAAGATACGGAGTTAATCATACCCATCATCGTGTTGATCCATGACTGATCAAAACCCAGCTTAACCATTACTGCCTGCAAATATGGCCACTCCAACCTATCATAGGCCTTCATCATATCAAGCTTAAGTGCACAGAAACTATTGCTCTTCGACCTATTCCTCTTCATAAAGTGAAGGCACTCATAAGCGCATATGATGTTGTCGGTGATGAGCCTTCCCGGCACAAAGGCCGATTGTTCCTAGGAGATAATATCAGGCAGAATCTGTTTCAGTCTGTTTGCTATCACCTTAGAAGCTATTTTGTAAAGGACATTGCACAAGCTTATTGGCCTGAACTGAGACATCATTGTCGGGCTAGCTATTTTGGGGATGAGGACTAATACAGCCTCATTAATTGCTTCAACACTCTCCTCCCCCTTGACAATCCGTAGTACAACATTAGTTGCTTCCTCTCCACACAGGTCCCAGTGCCTCTGGTAAAAATGAGCAAGAAATCCGTCAGGCCCCGGTGCCTTTGTCGGAAACATCTGGTAAAGAGCAACTTTCACCTCTTCGCGAGTGTAGGGAGCACACAAGACTGCATTCATCTCTGGAGTTACCTTTGAAGGTACATGGTTTGTCACCTCTTCTATGCCCTGAACCCCTTCAGTGGTATAAAGATTTTCATAAAACTCTTGTACCAAAGCCTTAAGCTGCGTTGGTTCACTCACCTGCACCCCCAAGGCATTAGAAAGGGCTTTTATCATGTTCTTTCTCCTCCTCAGACTGGCCCTCATGTGGAAAAATCTGGTGTTCCTGTCCCCTGCGGTTAACCACTCTACCCTGGCCCTCTGCCTCCACATGAGCTCCTCGCGGTAGTACAATTCGACCAAGTTCTCATTCATCTTCAGCTCTCGGTGGCTCGGTCTGTCACGCAAAGGATCATTCCTCGGTCTGCCATCACCTCGGCTGATCCGGGGGTTCAGAGATGTCCACATCAGCAGGCCGGGAGAACCTCTCCAGCCCGGTCCCAGACCGTTCCGGCACGCGTGCGTTCTTGTCGACGCTAGCCACAATTTTTCCCCAGCGCTACTCTCACTACTTCTGCTAACTTCCCCTCCAAAAAAGGAAAATGCTACGCTAGGATTCCATTGACTGACCTGACCACAGCAGCCGCCATGCATGGGCACCACGAGATCAGCTCCAGCAGCGGAGGCAGCAGCCCGACCTCCCTCTCCGACCCCTCCATCGACAGCGACGACGGCTCCGCCACCACCGACGAGTACTGCCCCGACGACCCGCGCGAGTTCCGGCGCCACGTCTCTTTTTTCTCCCCGTCTGTGCTCGCCGAGGTCGACCCCAGCAGCTTCCGTCCGATCTCCTCGTCCTCCTCCTGCGTCCTGGCCGACGTCGACAAGCACCTGCAGCGCATGGTCCTCCTCCTCCCAGCCTTCTCCGCCGCCGCCACCGCTCCGCGTGCCGACGCGCTGCGTCAATGGCTTGCCGGCTTTGACGTCGGCTGGGTGCTGGACATGGACGACCGCCGAAGCCTCCCGCGGCGGGAGGTCGGGAGGAGGGTCAGGGCGTGGGCGCAGGCGCTCGGCACCATGGAACGCGTTTTCCGCCACCGGCACCGGAAGGTCCGCAACCCGGTCAACGACGCAGCGGCGGGGGAGCTGGCGGCGCTGGGGCAGCTCGCGGCCGAAAGCGCCGGCGCGATGCTGAGGCTGGCTGGTTCCGTCGTCGCGCTTGGGAGCTCCCCGTCGAAGCTGCTGGCGGCGCTCGACGTGCACTCCCCGGTCTCGGTGGCCTACCCCGGCCTCGCCAGGATGTTCTCGTGGCCCCCCTACCACCCCGTCACGGCCGCGTCCGACGCCGCGCTGGCCGGCCTGGTGGACGCGTCCCGGCGCTGCGTGCGCGACCTCAGGGCGTTCATACGCGCGCCCCAGTACCCGTGGCGGATGCCGCAGGGCGGCGAGGTGCACCCGTGCGTCGGCTTCTGGATGGGCTACTTCCGCTGCATGCTGCGCAACCGCGTGCCCCTCTACTTCGTCCTCGCCGCCGGCAACGGCGACGCCGACACCGACTCGCCGCCAACGACGCCGCTCGCGCCCGACGAGAGCGGCCTGGTGACGGAGCTGATCTCGTGCCTGGAGGCCGTGCTGGAGGAGCAGTCCGCCGCGCTCGCGTTCCCAGGGCTAAGGCATATCTTCATGCTGAACAACACGAGCGCCATCCTGCGCCGCGCCGTGCGCTCCGACCTCAGCATGCTCCTGCCGCCCAGCTGGGTGCTCGTCCGCGAGGAGCGCATGGAGGGTTACATCAAAGCTTACCTGCAGGTTTCCTGGGGGACCGTCGTGTCGCGCCTTGACGGGAAGCCAGGAGCCCTGAACGCCCTCCGGCGACGGAACCCGCTGAGCGCATTTTACCTGGCGTTGGAGAACGCGTGCAGCATGCAGAGAGGCTGGAAGGTGCCCAGCCCAGCGCTGCGGGCCGCCCTCCGGAGTACCGTGTCGGGGAATGTCGTGCCGGCATACCGTCGGTACCTCGACGACCACCCGGAGGTTGAGGTGCCGGCAGGGCGCACCGCGGAGGAGCTGGAGAATCAGTTGTCGGAGCTGTTCGAAGGCTAGTAGACTGAAAGCTTCGCACTGCATGTTGTATCTGAAATTCTGAGCCAGAGACCAGCTTGTGCTGGCGCCTATCCACTTGCAGCTGGATTCAGAAACTCTCAATGTACTACGTAGAAGCATTCAGTTTTGCAGCAAAGATAGATGGTTAAACACTACCAATACACAAACACCTGAATCCCCAAAACCGCTGCAACACCCATCATATGCTGACATTTAAGAGAGAGACAGAGACAGAGACAGATGCAGTACCAACAAATGGCAGAAGTCTTTCTATTGACAAACACGGCATATGTAAGCAAACAACGGAATACAGAGCGATCAATGGTGAAAACAGAATCGGCATGTTTGCATTGTTGACTAGAAAGTGAAAAGAAGGCATTTACATGGCTTCCCTTCCATGCTGGTGAACTACAGATCTTTGAACAACCTCGCCGTCTAAGTTTATCAACAGGGTTTCCTGACAAGTTCACAAAAGAAGGGTTACATGCAAATTCTAGTGTTTCAATCTGATATTCAGAAAAGAAAAAAAAGGAGCAACTGTCAGTCTAAACTCACCATCTCTAGAGGGCTGACTCTATGCAAGAAGAAACCATCTAAATCCGTTTGATCTCCAGGGATGGGGTTTTGAATATATGACATTGAATTGTCATGATGGAAGTGTCCACAAGAACCACCAGTGCTTACATATGCATTCTGTATACCAAGCAGCCAAGGATAAGCAATCACTGATGTGAAGTTTTCATCGACAAAGAGAATAGAAAAATTACAGCTTCTTCCAGAAAAGAAGGAATTACCACTGCGTATTTTTCAAAAATATGCCGGAGTGGCTCGTAGATCTTTGTTGTTTTTGTTGTGTGCACCTCATTGCAATCAACTAATGGATCATATCCAACAACTATTTTCCTGGCTTAAAATAAAAATAATGTTAGACATTATGACCTTAATACAGAAATGTGTGCATACATGTTCATGTGTCACTTTTGCAATAAGCATAGTAATTCCTTCAGTATTTTTTTTTTCTTGAAAGAGATTATTTAGTATTTTCTTATACTATGTTCAAGCTGATGCTGAGTTGCTGGCCCTCTAATTCTTCTATGAATTGAACATACACTTACACAGTCCACTTATGAAGAATATATATGCATTGTTTTTCCAGAACATGAAGACAGATTAGTAATGCAGCTCATACGAGCAGGAGGAACTAGTGCATAGACTAGAATCATTTCTTCCTTCAACAATACAAAAACAATTGTTAAACAGGCATATTCGACCAGTAGTAAACATATACCAGTTATTGCTGGTCAGCGCTAGTGTTTGCTCCAGCCATGTAATTTGTTCCCTGCTAGAATTGCTCATTTTGCCATCATGCAGAAGATCCTTTAACCAAATGAGAAAATCAATCAGAAAGAATCCATAAAGGCCAGCCTATTCCACGATATCGCACAAACTCTCCATATAAAGCAATCCAAGCACTAATTTAAATTGCAACCATATTGTGCCAAAAAAGATTGCAGAGTCCTGAACTAATCAGTGCAAGGGGGATAATAAGGAGGTAAAAAACAATACTCAAGTAAAGATAGAATAATTGATGATCATTATTGATTGCAGGATGCTGACATAATCACATACTCAGTGCACAGACAACGTGTTGTTTATCAGATAAGTTGCCTGCTACAAGAAATTCAAAACTGTTTACCAATAAAATATAATACCTCAAGAGGCCCTGTATCAACACCAACAATTTCCAGAATTTGGTCGTATGGCATCTTCACTTTCTTCAAGAAATTACTAACAATCTGCCCATGTGATGTAGTGGAATACCTGAGGATGAAGCGGATTTTCATGTCATACAATGCACACACATCAGAGAGCAAACCATATGAGATTTCAGATAGGAATAACTAGTATACCAGGGGATATTCAGAGCTTGGAAGTGCAGAGAACCCTGGAAGACAGAAAGAGAAATAGAGCACAAGTTAGAATTTGGTTTATTTAGTTGGGCCAACTGAAATCTCTCTGATACCTACAACATCACTAATGGAGAACGGTATGCTTCACACATTTACAAAGTATTCCAGTATTATTACTTTATTAGCATGAATTAAAGTACTTACATTTTGCCCAAGTGGGTCATCGCCAAATCGGGCAACATCCAGCACTAACTTGACTTCATAAACCTTTGTTGTGCTTTCCATCTTCATAAAAATACATATATATGCATTATTAAGAATTAAACCCACAATACATTGCTAGAATATGAATCTGATGTTGTCTTCTTCAAGACAGGGAAAGAGCAAAATTGTTAACCAATGTCACATGACACTAAACATTCCCAGTCCACACGAAGCATATAAAAATAGAACTGTGTCGCTTCCTTTGAGATCTAGAGCACAATGTGCCAGGAAAGGATGGTTGGAAAATAAAATGTGCCAGGAAAGGGTTGGTAGAGAATCAGACTAATTCGTCGCTTAGTTATGTGAACACACTACACTGGATCATTAACTAATCGATGGCCATGAGTCGGGTTAGATCATGATGGGCACATGTGCCTCACTAGGGGCAAACATGTTGCATGTTCCATCCCAGGTAAGTCCAATGACCACCCTATAGATTATCATCGGATACCAGTCCTAGATCTGCAAATGTGTAGGCCATCACCTGATTGAGCAGAATCAGTGACATCGTGCAGGCAGTAACCTCCAACGAGCACAGCACACCACACACATACAGTAAGCAAATCCACATCAAAATGGCGAAACCCCTTCTTTCTCAATGAGCCCCTTTTAGTTAACAACTACAAGGATGAATAAACTTTTCCAAATACTATGAATTTCACAGAGATGCTTGGCCATATTAACTGATGAAAATTTTATTCGGCTACAGTTACCAAATACTAGCAATTTTCTATAACAGCATCACGAACACGAAGCAATCTACCATCGTGGTCGGTTACAATTTCTTCAGTGGCACACTCGGCGCAGTAACTACAGTTCGCAGCACCACGCTGAAAAGTGAAAACGAACGGAAACACGCTACGAACAGGATGCGGTTGGACGGAACAGAGAGCGCGCGCGCCAAGCAATTCCCCCGGCACCGGCAGAGGCGAATCAGAGCGCCCAAATGATGACAAATCGAAGCGCAACGAGGAGAGGATGCGGAAGACGAGAAATCGAACGCGGAGACCGTACAGATGCACACGCACGCACCTGCCTCAGGAGGCGCGCCTGGTCAGCGGGCGTCCGCGCGCCGCCCGCGACGCTGAGGAAGGTGAGGCCGCCGCCGCCGACGCCCAGCGCGCCCCCGCCCCGCGGCCGGAGCTGCGGCTCGCCGAGGTTGAAGGCCGCGTAGAGCGCGAGGCAGAGCGCGGCCTGAACGGCCACCGTGCGGCGCCACGGCGGCCGCCGCCGCTCCTGCAGCTCGGCGGCTGATTCCACTTCCATGGCCCGTCGCGGCCTCGTCAATGCCGCTTGCCTCGTCGCAGCGGTGGGCGGAGACTACCGTTAAGATCGCACGCCCACACGTCCTTTTGTTCTGACGAGAAAAAAGATTAAAAAAAACAGTTCCTGTTTTCTCTTCTCGGCTGAGATGCGATCGTTCGGCGAATCGGTTAGCTGGACACTGATATCCTCAACCTACCCTGGTTCAAATCCTGATGTTCGCATTATTCATGCATTTATTTCAGAATTTCTGGCGATGCGCTTTCAGTAGAAGGAGACGTTCCCGTCGACGACGAGGCGCCTACGACGACTTCGTAAATCTTAAGATGATGTGCCGGCTCAGTCTTTCAGAGATGCTTATAGGGATAGGAGGTACGTGTGTGCGTTCATAAGGTATATGAGGGTTTGTGTCTATACTGATGCTAAAAAAAGATGCGATCGTTCTCTCCTCTCTCTACGTCTCGGATAGTCAGATGCTCGGGGCGAAGAGGTTTGCAAAGTGTCGCGGTGGTGATCCATGATAAAAAAATGGATATCTTTTCGGGGTCACGTCGCGGTCCCACCAGATACGTAGTGCAGGTGAACAGCTGTCGAGACATGTTTGCTCGCTGGTCGAGGTTGAGTTGGCGAGCTCCTTTCCTGTCTTCTCGCCATCGCTTCCCGTTCTCGGCTCTGGCGAAGCTCCAAGTTTGATTCCGTTTGAACACGGTGGGGTTTCCCTTGCAGCATTTTTTATTTTGATTTTTTGATCAACGTTAGAGCAACTCCAACGGGCCAACCCAAACGGATGACATTTTTGTCTGTTTTTGTCCGTTTGGGTCGGCCATCCGTCTGACATCCGTCATGTTTTATATTTGAATCAGCAGTGCACCCAACGCACCGCCCCATATGTGGTGGCGTGGCCGGCTAGCCGCCTTATTTCAACAAATAACTCATTTTTGCATTGTTTCGCAAACAACTTTTGCATTCAAATATATAGTCAAATAATATAGTTTCAACCGGATAAAATAGTACTCCTTCCGTTCCTAAATATAGGGTGTATAGTTTTTGGCACGAAAATTAAAGAACGCATGTGGAGGGAAAATTTTACAAGTTTTGGGTGAGATTACACCTGACTAATTGGCATGAGAAAATAAAGAAGCTTGCCTAATATAAGGAAATGTAATCGAATCCCAAAAAAAATTATCCATACGAGTGGTGCAACTCAATACACCTTATATTTTGGGTTTTTCCTCAAAAATCTATACACCTTATATCAAGGAACGGGGGGAGTATAGTTCTTTCACTCCCTTGCCAAGCAGAAGGACAGTTCTTCCACTCCCAGTCTATGCTGTCAAGCATCCCTGGGAAGCCCCGCTGGCATTCATTGCCAACAAACGGGTTGTATCTTTATGAGTCGGCTCTCTCAAGTACTCAGGGCCAAATACAGCAATAACAGCCTTGCGGAACTTATATAGGGAGCCTAGACATGTAGACTCGCTCATACGAACGTACTCGTCAATGAGATCATCGGGCACTCCGTATGCAAGCATTCAGATGGCGGCAGTGCATTTCTCATAAGAGGAAAAACCAATCTTTCCAACGACATCCTCTTTGCACTCGAAATAGTCATCGTAGTCGACCACCCCCTCTCTAATACGGTTGAAAAGATGCCTACTCATACAGAAACAGTGGCGGAATTTCTTATGTTTGAACAACTACCAAAGAAGGAGATGCCTGCTCTTCGGTTGCGATTCAACGCCGGAAGGTGGCCTGGAATGGAGCCATGGCACAACGGCCACTGACTATTGAGGTGGTGATGGACCAACACGGCAGCCAATATCTCCTCATCGTCATCGGATGACGAATCGTCAGAGTCGCAAAGGAAATTGTGAAAAAAGAACTCGTCGGCGGAGTCCATTTTGTACCTTGGCAAACGGTCGAACAGCTTGCGGGCGTCGGCGAAGGAGACGGCCGGCGAAGGGAGTCACGACGCGCACGGACCAGCTAGTTGCTCTGCCGGCGTCCGACGAGCATGCCGGTGAGGATCTAGCCGAGACGGCGAGGCGGCTTCTTGGTTGTGGCCGTGTCGGGGGGTGGCAATGAAGGAAATATGCCCTAGAGGCAGTAATAAAGTTGTTTATATTTCCTTATATCATGATAAATGTTTATTATTCATGCTAAAATTGTATTAACCGGAAACTTAGTACATGTGTGAATACATAGACGAACAGAGTGTCACTAGTATGCCTCTACTTGACTAGCTCGTTGAATCAATGATGGTTATGTTTCCTGACCATAGACATGAGTAGTCATTTGATTAACGGGATCACATCATTAGAGAATGATGTGATTGACTTGACCCATCCGTTAGCTTAGCACGATGATCGTTTAGTTTGTTGCTATTGCTTTCTTCATGACTTATACATGTTCCTATGACAATGAGATTATGCAACTCCCAAATACCGGAGGAACACTTTGTGTGCTGCCAAACATCACAACGTAACTGGGTGATCATAAAGATGCTCTATAGGTGTCTCCGATGATACTTTTTGAGTTGGCATAGATCGAGATTAGGATTTGTCACTCCGATTGTCGGAGAGGAATCTCTGGGCCCTCTCGATAATGCACATCACTATAAGCCTTGCAAGCAATGTGACTAATGAGTTAGTTGCGGGATGATGCATTATGAAACGAGTAAATAGACTTGTCGGTAATGAGATTGAACTAGGTATTGAGATACCAACGATCAAATCTCGGGCAAGTAACATACCGATGACAAAGGGAACAACGTATGTTGTTATGCGGTTTGACCGATAAAGATCTTCGTAGAATATGTAGGAACCAATATGAGCATCCAGGTTCCGCTATTGGTTATTGAACGGAGATGAGTCTCGGTCATGTCTACATAGTTCTCGAACCCGTAGGGTCCACACGCTTAACGTTCGGTGGCGATCAGTATTATGAGTTTATGTGTTTTGATGTACCGAATGTAGTTCGGAGTCCCGGATATGATCACGGACATGACGAAGAGTCTCGAAATGGTCGAGACATAAAGATCGATATATTGGACGATTATATTCGGACACTAGAAGTGTTCTGGGTGATTTCGGAG